GTTGCAGCCGTCATTGTTGTTTGGCGGGTCCGGGCTGGGGATTCAAACCTGCCACCTTAGGTGTATGTGGCTGGCGCCTTAGCCGGTTGAGCTATAGGCACCGAGCCAGCATCCTTATTTTCTACACATACAACAAATGACAAAGCCTGATGTTGTCTCAGGTTGAGATTGGGGTTCCCTCCCTGATTCTGTCAGGTCACCACTTCTTACTGCATTTCAGTTCACCTGCCTTCACCCATTCCCTCACTCAATTCAAGTTTGGCCCCTGGAATCTAATGTAGATTCAGAAAATATCCAGGTAAGGTATTGATAACACATTCAGTAGAGAGTGGTTCTCAACCTTCCTAATGCTGCGACCCTTTAATACAGTTCCTTATGTTGTGGTGACCCCCAACCATAAAATTATTTTCATTGCTACTTCATAACTGTAATCTTGCTACTGTTATGAATCGTAGTATAAATATATAATATGCAGGATGTATTTAGGTGACCCCTCTGTAAGGGTCATTCAGCCCCTACAGGGGTTGCTACCTACATACAGGTTGAGAACAGCTGCAATAGAGTCTTAAACCTATTTGAGAGTCTGTAAGGGCCTAGTTTTAGTACAGTATTCTGTGAGAGTTATTTCTACTTTCTTCAGTTACTTTTGTTCAGGGCAGTATACTAATAGACTTCCAAAAGACAAAGATTTTAGCTTTGGAGCCTATTTGCATTATTCATCTTGAACTATTTAATATTCTATAATTTGGAACACAGACCCTCTTTGACTTATAATACCTTTATTTACATAATTTCAATTCAAAATAATGGCAGAGGGTATTTGATGTTTTGTTATTTTGCTGCTGTTTCTCCACAGAAGAAACAATGGAAGGACCCAGAGTCATGGCCCATCACAATCTAGATTTTTGCTTCCAAGAGTTGGTTTAAGTCAGAAATTTGTTCAGGGTTCAATTTGGGTAGATCTTTAGTGTAATTAACTTACTCTAACACTTTTAAGAAACAAACTAATGGCATCATTTATATTAGGGACTGCCCCCCCAGTGAACTCTGTTTCATATCTAAGGCTCTCAGAAATTCTTGACCTATAAATCCTTAAAGTTCAGAGAAAAGAAAAAGTCATTTTTTTTTACATTTAACACTTACAGCTTACAAAGTGTTTTTTTCCCCCAACGGATGGGATCTGATTATGTTTGTTGTGCAATCTGGCTCATATGGTAATTCTATTTTTAATCTTTTTGAGGCATTCCATTTGGTTTTCCACAGCAGCGGCACCATTTCATGTTCTCGCCCAGGTGCGCAGGGCTCCAAGCACTCCACATCCTCACCAATACTTACTTTGTTGTTTTTTATGGTAGCCAGCCTGGTGGGTTTGAGGTGGTATCTCGTGGTTTAGATTTGCATTTCTCTAACATTTATTAATGTGAACATCATTTTACGTTTGTTGGTATTTTGTATATGATCTTTGGAGAAATATTTACTGAAATCCTTTGCCCATTTTTAAATCTTTTTCTTTTATTGTTGTTGAGTTATATGAGTTCTCTATATACTCTGGATATTAACCCCCTTCAGATTTATGATTTGTAAATATTTTCTCCCATTCTGTGGGTTGCCTTTATTCTGTGTTGATAGCTTTTTTTATTTATAGTAAATTTTATTTTTGTTATACTACATATTTCACTTAACGTAATTTCAAAGTAGGTCTGTGCTGTGTGATAAGCAAAAAAACAAATATCCTAAACTACTAAGAGATTCTCTGATGTTCTCTGTTGCTTTTTATAGATGGCTTTTATTATGTTGTGGTAGTTTTCTTCTATTCCCAATTTGTTGAGTCGTTTTGTCATAAAAGGGTGTTGAAATTCATTAATTCTCTTGTTGTTATTTACATATTTAGTAGAATTGACCAGTAAAGCAAGCAGATGGGGCTTTTCCTTATTTGGAGATTTTTGATTATTGATTTAACCTGCTTATTAGTTGTAAGTCTATTCAAGTTTCCTATTTCTTTGTGGTTCGGTCTTGGTAGGTTTTGATATTTCTACAAATTTATCCGTTTCATCTAGGTAACAATTTATTAGCATCCAGTTATTCATAGTGTTCTCTCATAATTTTTATTTCTGTAGAAATTGATATAATTGGCTTGACACCTGTAGCTCAGTGAGTAAAGCACCAGCCACAGAGGCTGGCAGGTTCAGTCCCAGCCCAGGCCTGCCAAATGACAACTACAGCAAAAAAAATAGCCAGGCCTTGTGCCAGGTGCCTGTAGTCCCAGCTACTTGGGAGGCCAAGGCAAGAGAATTGCTTCAGCCCAAGAGTTTGAGGTTGCTGTGAGCTGTGAAGCCACGGCAGTCTACTGAGGGTGACATTGTGAGACTCAAAAAAAAAAAAAAGAAACAAAAAGAGAAAAAAAGAAATTGATATAATTTTCCCACTTTCATTTCTGACTTAGTAATTTGAGTCTTCTCTCTTTTTTTCTTAGTCCATCTAACCAATTTTATATTTTCAAAGAATCAACTTTTGGTTTTATTGATCTTCTTTATTGTTTTTCTAGTCTCTCTTTCATTTATCTCAGCTTTAGTCTTTATTATTGCCTGCCTTCTGCTTAGTTTGTTCTTTTTCTAGTTCTTTACCTTGTAAAGTTAGGTTGTTGATTTTCTTGTTTTTTAATGTATTTGTATAACCAGCTTTATGAACAAATAAACAAAATGTTATTTTCACAAGCCCACCGCTGCAATATTATCTATTCCTCCCTTCAATTCTGTCATTTTTTTGCTTTGTATATTTTTATGGTCTTCCATTACGTTTATAAATGTTTGTTATATATATTCTTACTATATTGAATGTCTTATATGTAATGTTCTTCATCTCTTGTAAGCTTTTTTATCTATAGTCAATTTGTTGGACATTCATATAGCCACACCTACTCTATTTTGATTATTATTTGTGTGGAATAACTTTTTCCAGCCTTCCACTTTCATTCTGTTTGTGTGTTTGGATCTACAGTGAATCTCTTGTAGACAGTATGTAGTTGGATTATTTTTTATCTATCTGCCAGTCTCTATTTTAATTAGACTATTTAACCCACTTATATTTAAAGTAATTACTGACGAGGGACTTTTGTTACTTTGTTATTTGTTTTCTATATGTCATATAGTTTTTTTGTCCCTCATTTCTTGTAAAAAAAAAAACGTTCACTTGGGTTTTTTTTTTTGTACTAAAATACTGAAGTTACTTCTTCATGTTTTTTTGTACATATCCTATAGCTATTTTCTTTGTGGTTACCAATGGGGATTACATTTGACATACTGAAGTTGTAACATTCTATTTGAATTTATACCACCTTAATTTCAATAACACAAAAACTTTGCTCATTGAATAGCTCCATCCCCATCCCTTTTGGTTGTTGCCATACTTATACACTGTGTGCCCAAAATATAAACTAATAACTCTTTGAAATCCATTTGCCTCTTAAGTTACATACAAAACAAAAAATAGTTACAGACTGTAGTTATACTAATAGTAGGTTTCATAATTGTACATGTATTTACCTTTATAGAGGTTTTTATTTCTTCATTTGGCTTAAAGATAGTCTAGTGTCCCTTCATTTCACCCTGCAGGATTCCCTTGAGCATTTCTTACAGGGCAGGCCTAGTGGTAATAAATTCCCTCAGCATTTTTTTCTTTTCCTTTTTTTTGGAAACAAGAGTCTCACTCTTGTTGCCCCAGGCTAGAGTGCCATGGTGTCATAGTTCACAGCAACTTGGGTGCTTGGGTGATTTCTCCTGCCTCATCCTCCCAAACAGCTGGGATTGCAGGTGGCTGCCATGATATCCAGCTGATAATTCTATTTTTAGTAGAGCTAGGGTCTCGCTTTTGCTCATGGTGGTCTCAAACTCCTGACCTCATGGAATCCATCCACCTCAGCCTCCCAGAATGCTAGGATTACAGGTGTGAGCCACCACACCAAGCCAGCATTTTTTCTTCTTCTTAATTTAGAAATGTCTGTATTTCTTCCTCATTTTTGAAAGGCAGTTTTGCTGGATATAGGATTCTTAGTTAATATTTTTAAGGATTTTTTTTTTCTTTTAGCATTTTTAATATATTGGGCCACTGTTTTGGCCGCTAAAGTTTCTGGCGAGAGATCCAAAGATAATTTTATTAAGGATCTCTTGTATATACCAAGTCATTTCTCTCACTGCCTTCAAGATTCTGTCTCTGTCTTTGGAAAGTTTGATTATAATGTCTCAGTGTGAATTTTGACTTCATCTTACTCAAAGTTCTTTAAGATTTTTGTATACTAACATTCATGTTTTATATCAAATTTGGGAAGTTTTCAGCCATTATTTTTTTCAGGTATTCTATCCCTTTTTGTTTCTATCCTCTTTCTGATAATCCCATAGGGCTTATGTTGATCCACTTGATGGTGGCCCACAGGTCCCTTAGGCTCTGTTCACTTTTTAACTTCTTTTTCACCTTTCTGTTTCTCAGATACAGTAATTTCAACTTTTTTATCTTCAAGTTCACTGATCTTCCTGTTCAAATGTGCGTTTGAACTCCTCTAGTAAATTTTTCATTTCAGTTACTGTAATTTTCAGCTTCAGAATTTCTCTTGGGTATCTTTTAAGGTTCTATATCTCTCATGATACTGCTGTTTTGCTCATACATCATTTTCTTTCCATTCTCCACATCTCCCTTTACTTCTTTGAGTATATTTAAGACAGTTAAAACCAAAAGAAATGAAAGATCTCAAAGATATATTTGTATACTCATGTTTATAGCAGCATTATTCATAGTAGCTTAAATGTGAAAGCAAGCCTAGTGTTGAACAGATGGATGGATAAGCAGAATATGGTACGTCCTTACAATGGAATATTATTTAGCCTTAAAAAGGAAAGAATATGG